GCTGCATCTGCTAACCAGATGCGTTTTCCTAGGCATCCTCACGGGACTGCCATATGGCGTTCTGGCAGACCACATAGGACGGAGACCTGTTCTTGTGCTTGCTGTCTTAGGATCCGTCCTGGGAGAAATCTGGCCCAGGATAGTTTGTATGTTCTTGCCTGGTGAACCGTGATGATTCTACCTTTTTGCTGATATATCTACGTAGGCTGGTTTGGCATGCCTCTCCGTCTGGTCTGGTTATCGGGGCTCTGGCGAGTTATCGGAGGTGGCGACTTAGTTACGACGTCCATGGTCTTGGTGATCGTGGCAGACCTTTTTTCTGAAGAAGAAAGGTGACTTGGTCTTTCACTATCGTCCCTGCCACTCCGGTACTGATTGGAAACCAGAGCGACTGCGCTGTTCCGCCTCTCCTCGGCAGCATTGGTGGCAGAGATCGTGGCAACTCCCATTAGCGCTGTGATGATGTCCACCGATCCCTGGCTTCCCTACCTGGTTGGCCTTGCCATAATTCTCATATTTTTCCCGCTCCTTTTTCTTGTACCGGAGACCATCGAAGAAGCAAGGGAAAAGGCCCGGAAAACGTTGGCTACCGGAGACCATCATCTACCGGAAGCCCTAGAGCCACCATCGAAAGGTACACTGTTCGCTACGATTTACAGCAGGGTTCAGACATTCCTCCAATCCACTCAATTTATGTGGCGCAACAGCAACGTCCTCCTTACGCTGCTGGCCGTGTTTGTCGGCATTCTGAGCAAGCAGTCTACCAGTCTTCTTTTGCAATATGCCTCAGCAAAGTATCACTGGAGCATTGCCCGCGTAAGTTCGCCATCCCTCCGTTTGGGGCTCGTCTGGCCTTGGGGCGTGACTGATGTGATGACAGGCGAGTTTTCTTATATCACTGCGCGGTTCTATCAGCATCGCGAGTTACCTGTTGCTGGTCCCGGTCATCTCTTCTTTCCTCATCCGGTATCTCCACCTCGAAGCGGTGAGTAAAGATCTCTATGTCGCCCAAGCAAGCGCTGCATTTGCCATTGCTGGATTCCTTGTGATCTTTGTTGCTGAGACCCCTCCGGTGCTGATTCTGGGGGTTGTGTTGGTGTCCCTGGGCATTCCTTTCGGCATGTCTGTCCTGAGCGTCGCCACGTCCCTTGTGCCCTCTGACCACGTCGCGACCTTGTATTCTGCTGCGTCTGTCATGCATTCAGTGGGCATGTTGGTTGCTGGACCGATATTTGCCAGCGTGTATGGGTTCGGCATACGATTAGGACTTTCGTGGTCGGGATTGCCTTTTGGCCTGGCGTCTCTCACTTTTGTTTTGGCGCTCATCGCCGTCTCCTGTGTGAGAGCGGGGCGACGACCAGGGAATGTGGCTGGAGATTATTAAGACACTGTACTCTTTGTATTTGTCAGGATCTTAGATTATTTTGGATAATTTCGTTTTGTCTTAGAACTAGTCTGTATATTATTGGACCACGGTTGAAACGGCATTTTGCACAGATAGATCGACCTGCAGGAGAGTGTGAGATCTGGTATCGCTTCATTGGGCATCTCTTCGATTCACATGCATTGCTACTGTTCTTTACCGCGTCTTGAGATCACAGGACTGAAAATTGGCGTCCAAAGCGTGCGCTGAAATCCGAAATGCAACGTCGCGAACGAGATAGTCGTGAATGACTTGATCCGGGTGGGGCCGTCTTTTGATGCGATTCGCAAGCCCCAGGGCGCTCTGATGATTCGAGCGACTATCATGCTAGGCGATGCAACGTTCTGGCCCGCCGCCTGCCAACCTAAGTCTCGGGATCTTTGCAGCTCTAATTTTCTCCGACGCCCTAAATCCTTCGTGAGCTTCTTCGCATCATTGATAGGATGGACGGCCAATGATGGCTGCTTTCGCGCTGCCAATGCGGAGCGATCGACAGGTGTCGGACCCTGGACAACGGACGTTCCATAGCATCTCAAGATCCGATCCCATGTCCCTCGTCCGCCATTCGTGCCTCCGTTATCCGTGTATGGAGTACTCCGTACCTGACTAGCATCCATCCCGGAGATAAGCAGCTCCAGCACGCTCACTGCCGCAAGAGCTCCGCAGAGGCTTGTTTGCACCGTCAAATCAGCATTGCCGCTGCTGCATGTGCTGGCAGAGACAGTGCCGTTGTGGATGTTCATTATTTCCTGGAGGATCACAGTCGCAGCGGGGCACAGAGACACGTTCGGGCAACGGAAGGACGGCGAGGGCAAATACAAAACGAGCAGGTTTCCTCTCGAGGCATTGACACCATCCTCGTACTCTGTCGCCTATCGTCAGATTTAACTGGTCAAAGTCGACTTCATCCCCGTCGTTGCGATTCCTTCACGATGTCTTTCTCTGTTCGAGCCCTTGGCCTGCTTGCGCTGAGTGCAGCGCAACTCTTCAATGGCGCGCACGCCGGCGTGAAATCCTGCCCGGCGAACTCTCCTGTCAGCTGCAGCTCGTCCTCGTCCAAGTCCAGCTCTGGCAGCTGCTGCCTCGAGTCCCCCGGCGGTCTTCTGCTGCAGACCCAATTCTGGGACACGGACCCTGTGACGGGTCCTACCGACTCCTGGACCATCCATGGTCTTTGGTAAGCGTTAATGTTTGTTAGTATGAACAAGCAGTTTGGCTGACTTGGTATCTTTCCCCAGGCCGGACAACTGCGACGGCTCGTACCAGCAAAACTGTGACCCATCGCGCGCGTACAAGAACATCACGGAGATTCTGCAGGCGGCGGGCAAGCAGAGTCTGCTGGACTACATGAAGACGTACTGGCAGAGCAACGATGAGTCGCCGGAGGAATTCTGGGAGCACGAATGGGCGACGCACGGCACCTGCATCAACACCATCGACCCCAGCTGCTACACGAACTACACTGCCGGAGAGGAAGCCGCCGACTTTTTCCAGCAGGTGGTGACTCTCTTCAAGAGTCTGGACACGTACCAGGTATTGTCATTCGTGTCCGAAAGAAAGCAAGCAAGGAAGAAAGTGTCACTACCTGGCTGACACGTACTCGTCCAGGCCTTGTCCGATGCCAACATCACCCCATCCACAGACCAGACGTACGACCTGAGCGATCTCGAGGCCGCCACCTCCAAGATCCACGACGGCAAGACCCCTCAACTGTCCTGCAGCAACGGCGAGCTTTCTCAGATCTACTACTACTTTAACCTGCAGGGCAACGCCATCACGGGCAAATACATCCCTGTCGACTCTCGTAAGTCTTCCTCCTCGCGAACTCCAGAAACCAATTCAATTAATTAAAATCACACTAACTAACATTTTTCCCCCTTTCAACTGCAGCCGACTCCTCCAACTGCCCCAAGAGCGGCATCAAGTACCTGCCCAAGTCTCAGGGCTCGTCCTCCTCGGGACGCCGCCACGGCGGTTAAAAACATACACAAGTTTAACAAGGAGCACCCGACTTTTAAGAAAGCCGGTTTCTTGCGTTCACCCGATTGAAAAACGGAAACTTGACTTTGTACATAGGTACATACATACATAAATAGCTGCAATGCAATGGCATTATGATGACTACTTTCATGCTATGCTATCCAAAAAGTACTGTACATACTGTACATACCAATTACTACTACCTCCTACTTCGTGAATCTCAGTGCTGCTCAGATTGCTAAAGAAAATGTATTACATAGATATCGTACATGGGGTATTCTGCATAACTTCTTCTTCTCATAGCATGCCGCTCCCGCTCTCTCTATTAAGAGCGACTGTGAGCCCGGCCGAACGCATGGTTTTTTTCCGGAGAGTAGTAGTATATATAACTCTAATAATAATCTATTCGTCACTGAAGAATTTCTCTTCTTTCTTTCTTTCTTTCTTCTTGTCTTTCTGAACCCTGCCGCCTTGAGGAGGCAAACGTCCATAAAAAACCTTAAAAAAAAAGGGAAACCGTAGTGCGAGGCAACGTCCATGACACAGGTCTTCCCCTTTTCTTTTTTTCCCCCCGTAGTTATCCATCCATCCCTCACAAATATAGTTACTCGTTCGTCGAGAAGAAGGAAAAGGAAGCCTGATGTGATGATGTGATGATGTCAATGGAGGGAGAAAAGAAAATTCTGCATCGCAGCGGATTGGTATTATGACCTTCTGACAGGCAGAGTGAGACGCCTACAAGGGCAGGGCTTGTGGACAGGCGTATGACAAGTGCTTCAGACGGAATGGATCCCTTTGTGGGAAGCTGATTAGGCCTTGGGCACAGCACAGAAAAGAGCTGGGTCAAGTCAAGAGCCTTCGATGGTTCAGGCATGGGATAATGCCACTCTGCAGTGACGTTGTCTTTTTGCCCGGTATGGAGTTTCATAATCGACTCACTCTCCGGAGGAATGGTATGATGCTGTCTAACTCCGCACAGCCGGCATTGCGCGTGTTGGACCACAAACGACAAGCCCAGCGACCAGTACTCGGTTTGGATCCTCAAAGATAGCTGGTGAGAGGTGCTTGGGCATCTCCATGTCAGTCAGATGCCAACTCACATCACAGCGTTTTGTCCGAGGAGATAGATGTTTTGTCACTTTCCCTCCTGCACTTTCAGTCACAGCCCCTTTAGCCGGATCCTTCTCCTTTCCTCTTCCTGCTTGGCGTCCACACGACTCAAGAACTCCATTCGTCCCAGGTAGCCCTCCTTCGCTTTGCTGTGGACGTTCAGCTCGTCCTTGATGCCGGCCTGATCCACATACTCTGCCCAATCGAGTCGGGATTTCTCGACCGTGTTGAGTTTCGGACCCTTGACTTGCTTATTGCTGTCAGCCTCGGCTGCAGTCGGCTGCTTCTCCCAGCTCTTCTTGATCGCGTCCGGTGGGTTGGGGTCGAAACGAGAATACTTTCGTAGTGGTCTCCGGAGCTTCAGACCGGAATTTTTAGACGCTGCATCCTCGGCCTCGGCGTCATCGACAGGCTTGTCCTTGGATTGTGAAAGGTAGAGCTTGGCTTCCGCAGAATCCTTGGGCACGAGCTTCTCCTCGGTGATGACCTCTCCGGCAAACTTGTATGTCCGCTTGATTTTGATCATTTCCTCCGACGGCAGCTTGGTCTCCTGTTTCTGCTGTTCGGCCTGGGATTCTCCATTTGCAGCATCCTTCTTCTCTTTCTCTTCATTTTCTGGCTTGCTTGTCGGGAGTAACCCCGAATCTGTACCCGGAGTGTTCATCTTCTCCCATATGGCGTCGACATCGATCGTGGCTCCTTCGATCTTCGCCAGCGGCTTGCGCTCTTCTTGCCTGCAGAGAAGGAAGTGTTAGAACAAACCTCATGAGCTGGTATACAAGAAGGAAAACAAACGCACATCCTCATGCGCATTGCTCTCGTCTTCACAAAGCCCCCTTCGCCACCCTCATCGTCGTCATCAAAGTCGATGTCATCCTCATCGTCATCACCACCCTTTGCTCCTTTCATCTTTTTTCTCTGCCTTGCCTTCTGTATCGTTGCCTCGTCGCCAGAGTCCAGTTCCATGATTTCTCCATCATCGTCCTTCTTTGAGCTGCTCCCGCCTAGCTTTCGCTTCTTGGAAGGTCGCTGCTCTTGAGCCGCGGCTTCATCGTCCTCCCCCTCCGACGAGGAGAGAGCGTCATCATCTTCTCCAGCGTCATCTTCATCCAGCTGGAAGTCTTCGTCCTCCTCGGAATCGTAGTCATTGTCGAGGTCCAGGAGCGCGGTATCGCCGTCTGGTCTGTCTGTCGCCATGATTCTAGTCTGAGCGGTGATCGCGACGCAAAAAAAAATATCAAGAACTTAAAGAATATTTATTTTAAGGGAGAACAGGCAGACCAGTGGCGTGCCACAAGATGGCAGAGGTTGAATCGCGGTTAAACCGCGGCGCGTCCCGGCGATAATTCTGCCAAGGCGGTGAGGCGGGGTCATCTAACCTCCCGCCGCGAGTTAACTTGCTACGATGTACTGTACTCCGTACAATGTACTGTACATACTTTGATTCGAATAATTTCTTCCATGCAATTATACGCTTGAGGTTTAAGCAAATACACACTTATGTCTTTCCTCCGTTCAAATACCATAGACTAATTTCACCATGAAAAGCTCCCTATTCTCACTCATTCGCTCGACAGCTTGTATTACTCGGATCACGTTCATGGCTTCTTGACAGTCACCTCGACTTGAGCCAACTCGACGCCTCCAACTTTGCGCTGTCTGGTAACGCTTTGCTCAAGCAACCACCCAGCTGCGGCAGCAGCACCCATGAGGACTTCGAGACCGATGAGCAGGCCCAGCAGGATAAACCCTGCACGAGTCTCGACGCAATCGCGGGAGAAGCCCGCCGGGGCAGTCAGAGCCTGGCCGTCCACAGTGGTGGCGTTGATCCCTTGCAGTGACTGCCACTTGCAAGTCCAGGAATGGATTGTTTCGCCACTGGTAAATCCAGTCGGGTAGGTAGCCGACGGGAGGTAGACGGAGAAGGCGATGCCCACAATGGCAGTGACCAAGCCGGCGACTGCAATCGTAGAGGCAATGAAGTTGAGCAGTCGCGTTCGCGGATGAGGCTGGTTTCTGGTCAGTGCTGCTCTCACCACAGGTAGAATGATGATGACATACCGAGGGTATGAGAGCGACAACAATGTAGATCAGCGCCTGAAACATGATCACGACACCGCACGCCAGGAGCGCGTTGGTCTGGCGCACGTCCAAGTTCAGCGGCCACAGGGGAAGCCATAGCTTCTCGAATGAAACAGTGTCCTTGTAGTGGTGGAGAGGGGCGCCCTCACAGCCAACCACGGCGGTAGCAGCACCAAGAATGATCAATGCGATGCTGAAGCGGATCCAGTGCAGAGCACGCGCCCGGGCGAGATAGGCGGATTCCTGCTCATCGGAGGCGTAGGATGGATGGGACAAGCTCGAGACAGAAGATCGGTCACCCATTGTGTTGATATTCGGAGACAAAAGAAGGTAGGTGTCTGTCAGGTCTGCAGATCGCCAGCAAGTGTAGAAATAAAGAACCCGTGATTATATTTGTACAGAAATGGATAGTTAAATTTGGATCGATTGTAGAAGGGAAAGACTCGATCAATGATCACTAATAATAAAAAGCAGAAATGAAAACACGGATGCTATCCAGAGCAACCTTTTCGTCAAACAAGAATCAGAAACGAAAGGAGGACAATGAAAAGACCTAAGAACAAAAAACAATCAATGCGACCGATGGATGGATGGATAGGTGGGAAACCAGAACAATATAATCCATCACCTACTTCCCACCAAGCAGGTCACTTGAAGAAATTAGACGCCCTCTACCCCGATCATTCATGCGCATTCCATGTGGCATCGAATCAGATGCTTCTGCAAGCAGATCGAGGCATCCTTCCTGAACACCGTCCTCTCGTCAGGATGGCATATGGTGTATGGTTTCTGTGTCCCTCTTCCAAGCCCAGCCGGTAAACAGCATTCGTTCATTCGTCGTATGCAAGTTCCATCATGAACCCAAGAGCGTGAAGTTTCTATTTCTGGCCTGAAGAAGTACGGAGTAAGTCATGACAATCAGTCCAGTGGGCGGCAAGGCAGTTGTACAGAGCTGTTGAATCTGTCGGCTGATTGGCCGATACAAAATCCCCAGGTTTGGCAGTCAGGGCAAAGTCGGTTCCGTGGACGCTGATTCGCCCGAAAGAAGCGCCGAGCACCGTTAGTTCAAGCCATTGGCGGCTGCAGAGTTCCTGACTTGCAGCAACGCGGTGATTGGTCTGTACTATAAACTGTCAACTATTCCTCTTATAGGAAATAGTTAATCTTGCGTTTAATAATCATCATCAGCAATTTACAGTGCTTGCAACGAAATCTATCCACCAAGCTCTGAGAAAACAGAAAGGGGACGTTTGCAAGGTGATATAATTACAAGAGAATGGCAAACATGAAGGACTTGAGTACTTATCCTGATGTAGAAAATTGACTTTCCAGATCTATGGAATGACTTTAGGTGCTTTGGATATTGTACTGATTAGGTAGATCAAATGTCCAGTTTATTGAACCCGTGGCTTCGATCAAGTATGTACTATATACTGTTAACAGAATGGGCTACAAAAGAAAAATCCTAGGTACAGTATTTTTGCGACTTAACCAATTCATCTCTCTATGATCGAGAAAGTGTTGGTAAACGAGAGACCAAACCGATGTTCACGTCTTTGTGAAACAACCCTAGTATCTCCTCCCCCCGTGCTTCCTCCCCCGAAGCATCAGAGGAACCGTCCCATTTGAAGGGACAGTCACATTCTTGCACGCGCCGTACGAAAAGCCATGGATCGGAGCAAAATCATAGGGCAGGCCCGACGAGAGATCGCACTCGCCTGTGACGAATCGCCATGCGACGCAGTTGTCGTGTGCCTCGCATAGTTGCCCGCACTCGAATGGGGTGGTGGGGGCGACGCAGTCGACGTAGTAGAAGTAGCTGAAGGTGTTGAGTTGGATGTCCGAGGTGCAGTTTCGTGTTGTCGTGGATGCGGAGATTGGGGTTGATAGTCCCAGGTAAGGAGGGAAAGGGAGATGTAAAAGACCTTCATTTTGTGGTGTGTACGAGATAATGATAAAGATATCGACTTGAATAATTAAATAATAAAAATTAATAGTATGGGTACGATCTTGTGCTGACACGAAATCAGCTTCAAGGGGGAATACTGCTTTAATAGAGATCTATCCTGTTGTTCGAATGTTCCTGACAGTCAGGGGAAAAGATAAATCCAAGTATTAGCGTTTACAGCATTTCCCTTGAAATAAAGTACATTAACCAGTTAAAGTGTCTCTTTTGTCCCTATGCCGAATAAAATATAAATATCCCTAGACGCCAAAAGAACGAGTCTGCGCTATCAACTGTTAACGTTGCAACGTTCCTGAATCCTGCCAACAAAACTAACTCCCCGGCGCTCTCGTTGGCCGGATTTTTGAGCTCTGCGGCTGAAAGGCCCGGTCCAATTTGAATGCGAGGTCTAGGCGTCTTTACTCGTGAAACATTAATAGGGAATTTAGATTTGTTCTCCTCTGAGTCCTGTTTCTAATATATAGGTAGGATATGGTCTCATGTAGATTAGATCTGGTTGAATTTCCTTATCTTTCCTTGTCTTCTTTGTAACCTACTTATGGGGCCTAGTTAATGTTTATGCAACCATAATATTACTATCGACCTTATTGTTCTCCTCCCCTAGTAGATCTAAGTGCTAACTATGTGCTGTGGCCTCCCTTTCTTTCCGTGATATAGTTCATAGTTCTAAGTAGGACAATAGATTTGGTCTATGTATATTAATAATCCTATAAACTTTTTATGGCTGATTGATTTTCTTTCCCTTCTTCCTAAGTGCCTTTACTGATCGGAATGGCAGTATACTCCGTAGTGCCATTAATAGTTTGCTGTAGGATGCTATAGATAGTAGGCCTATAACTCTGAATATATAGGCAATAAGTGATATAGTACTAATATGTTCTTCTTCTTCTTCCCCCATTTTAGGGAGTATTTTTCCGTCTGAGACCGCATCATACGCTCTCACCTAACATCAACACTAACCATAATATACCTGATTGAGATACTTGTAAAGCTAGAGAACCAGCACCAGCAGCGGTTAGAATATCTTCTATAACTGCTGCGCTTTAACAAAACTCTCAGTTCCATATGGCAAAGTAATGAATTTGCTTTGTAGGAATGCCACTCATTCTGGTCCTCTGAGCGACTTATTAGTCTTTCCATATATTGAGTATCGATTAATTTAGATATCAGCAAGATGAATTAAAAATAATTGCTTATAGTTACAGCTCAAGAAGGTAAAGAAGTGCTGATACTATAAAGTTTGTGTCCACTGATAGGCTACCATCTTTTGGTTAACCTCACTCGTCCATCAACCATAACTCATCTGTGCTCTTTCATCCTTCCAAGCCTCTTTTGAGCCATCTTCTCTTTTCTTTTTCTGCTCATATTTCAGCGGCAACGCCAAAATGCAATGGTTCGGAGACTTCTTGGGAAGGCAAGGAAATTGTTTTCCCAGCACGCGACGATCAGCCGTCTACCACCTGGAAATTAGGCGCAAAACTTGCCGACGACAAGTTCAATCTGTGGCCAAAAAGAATAATAACAGAGAAGAGTGGTCCTTCTGGGGCCTGGGCGCCATTTTTGTGCAAACAAGTCGGAGCAGATGGACCTGAACATGTGATCAAGATCTACATGCAGCTGCGTATATTCCCTTTGCCCCCGTGGGCGTCTATTCCCTAACGATAAATGGTCAATAATGCTGATGATGCTGATCTATCTTTCGACAAAGAATCCCACATGGAGGTACCATGTCTGATAAGCCTGAGTCGAGGAGAATGCAGCGCCACCAAGAACTTCCAAGGAACGCAAAAGCTGAATTAGAGGCACTTCAAAAGCTTACACAAAATCAATGCACATCGGCACCGAGACTGGTCAATTATTTGCAGTATGAACAGGACGAAAAAATGTGGGTTCCTGGGGGCTATCTGTTCTTTATTCTCATGACCAGGTGTCCTGGTAAACCACTTGAGAACTTCCACAAGGAACCTCTTGCCAAGCGAAATGAGATTCGCAAGGCATTCGAAGATGCGTAAGTATGTTTTTTTTTCTAACCGCTGCAAGATCAAAGAAATAGTCTGATAGGAGTATTTTAGGGAATATCTGCGATGCGGAGTGGTTAATGCCGACAACAGCCACGACAACCTTCTCTGGGATGATGCGGCTAAGAAATGGTGAGTGGATATAATTTATCGTACTAGTCTTTTCTTCGGAAATAGCTACAAACTGCATGTTTCCTAGTTACATTGTGGATTTCAAATTCTGGACGACGCCGTCACCTGCAACTGCTTGGAGTAAGGACATACTTGAGGTATGGTTTCTGCAGGAGATAGAGTGATGGCTTATCTATTCATACCAATTAAGGCCATTATATGTGGCATGAAAAATGTACATACGGTTTTATGAGCACTATAACGAGTGACAATGACATGGAATCCTCAATTCGTATATGTGTCCATTACATACATCCATTGAATCGCATCCTGAACGCCATAGCCAAGCCCAGGGATCCTATCCGCAAAAAGAAAAACAAGTCGCTACTTGTTTAGTATATTAGCAACGTTCTCAATCGCCTGCGCTTCAGAGCGCTTGATTTTCCTGCCTGCAACCACGCTGTTTCCATCGCCCAAAGCTGGTTCCCCAGCACGCTCGAGGTGCAGGCGGACCCGGCTCTCAATGTATTCTCGTCTCTCGTCCTTTTTGGAATCCAAGTCCATCTCATCAACAGACTTCGGGAGTGTGCTCAGCTTGGGGCGCAGCTGGTTCAGCATAGAACGCAGGGCTGGCAGCTGAGACAGTATGAAGGTAGTGTTCGTCGTTAAAGGACCTGCATTGCTGCCCACATTCAACTGCTTTGCGGCCGGATCAGACGTCAAGAAGGATAAATTCGGAGCATCTTGTCCAGCAGACTGCTGGCTGTCCCCTGCGGATTGTTTTGAAGTCGCCGATTGAGCATCTGATAGTATCGCGCGCAGTTGGGCGATTATGGCATCATTTCGCTCGCACTCTTGTTTCAGAGCGCGTTGCAGCTTCCGGGTCTCTTGCAGCTTCTTCCGCTGTAGATTAATCGACTCGGGTGTGGGTGCGTCTGATTCTTGATCGGAGAAAGATAGATTCTGAACCCGTCCTCATGTTAGTCGTCCTCAGTTTCTTACTGTCATGAATTCCTCGAAAAGGGCGCGAATAAGGACGGATAAGATAGCAGAAGAAGGACTAAATTGGTTGATAGTGAACCCACCTCGTAATGTCCAAGTCTCACCCAATTCACCAGGTCTTGCGGCACAGTGAGGATGTTTCGCAGCACGTAGATCTCGAATTTATCAAACGCCTTGTCCACATTCGCCTCGAACAACGTCTCTAGTTGGTTCAGTCCATTCTCGATTTCCAGCTTCGCCTCTGGATATTCGACATTGCCGTCTCCATCGGTATCCGGAATGGTCGTGCCGTTGTTGGAGTGGCGGAAGCCCAACCGCTCGGGAGGAGTCGACAGCAGCCCCGATTCGAGACTGGAGATGGCCTGGTAGATGAGGTTGTTGATGGAGTTGATGATATCGTCTATCAGTGACTATCCCACCCAATGCCTTCGTTAGTAATAATGGCCGTGTTGTGTCGGGGTAGGAGCAAGTCGGAAATATTAGACAAAGAGGAACGCGCAAAACTCACCAAAGGAGTATAACTAAAGTGCTCCGTGAGCAGAGCAGTCGTCGCATCATTCATCTTGAGACAGTTCCTCTATGCAGAGGCATCTTCCGCGCTTCGATTGCTGGATTCTCCCCGAGTTGTCTGCGGGACGCGACGTCATGAACTGCATGTTGACTCCGCTCCGCGCACGCGATCCCGACGCGGCGGAAACTCAAAACGGAAGGATAGCCGACGCATCTCGGCTTTAATTCACTTGTATTAGAGAAGTGCTTCTGTTACTCTTCTGCAGCTACTAAATAGTATCGTTTAAGGCATATCACAAGAAATTCGATTCGAGAGACATCATGTTTATTGGACCTTGCCTGTCATGACTCTCTAATGTGCTTTCCAACTATCTCCACAAAGCAATCGTAGAGCATCCCTATGACAAAGATACCCATCGCAGTCATGCCAAATCCAGCGGACTTATATGTGATGTTCAATCTTCTGAGACAAAAAAATCTCGTTTTCGCGAAAGAGCATCCTAGTCAATCAGGTAAATAGCATCCCATAGCATGGCCCGCAGCCGCACATTACCACATGTAGTCTCTGTCTCGTTGACCGGGATGAATCCAAGCTCATCCCACAGCTTCATCCCCTTGACAGTTGCCCTGGCTTCCAGACCAACGGGCACACATTCGATGTCAGCGTGTTCCATGCCCCACTGGACCAGAAGCCGACCGATGCCACGGTGCTGGTAGGCAGGGTGGACGGCCACGTTTTCGAGATACCACAGGTCCCGATATTTCTCGAAGGGGAAGCATGCCATCGAGCCGGAATTGTAGTCTGCGAGTCGTTGTTTGTCTAGGCTCTTGTCCAGACTGAAGATGTTGTAGTAGTGCTCTGTTATACCCAACAAGGTCCTTTCGAGGCCTGACGATATGAGATGTTAGTCAGGAGAAGCGACGCATTGCGCAGGAAGTCCACAAAAAGTCAGATGGAGGTGGACTTGCCGTTCCAAAACCTCCCTTTGGCTGTCGCCATTTATGGCATGCTTGTCCTGCCCAATCCTCTCCCAAGCGCAGTATCCCACGATCAACCCTTCCCCATCCTCTGTTGAACGGAAGTTCTCGCGCTGAACAGCCACGCAGAGGACCCAACCAGGAGTGACGTTCTGTTGTTTCAATCGCCGCAACAGGCTGTCGCGATAGTGGGAGAAGTACCGTTGACGTTCGGGGTATAGGAACGCGGAGACTTCCTCGTTGAGCATCGCCACGGCGAGGATGTCCGCAACGTGGGGGAGGTCTTCTAATGTCGCTGGTCGAATGCGAATATTTCCCACGTCTTTTGTGACTGGACGCAAGATCTGGTTTCCGAACCAGTTCTCGTCATACAGCTCGAACATTGTAACAGGTTGAAATTGGAAAACAATACAGTTCGATGGCAGCTTGAATTATCTAGCCTCGTTGTATCTCCTTTCAGGGTATGCCTCTTGATAGGGGAGTACCAGAGGCAACTTGGAAGACCTGGGTTATCTGACAATTTTTAGTATTTGGCTGGAAAGGGAAAAATATCAACCAATGGAACAACTTGCGAAAGAAGACGGCAGTTCGCTGATGGATCTGGTGTCTATGTCCGGCTGTAGCCGTCAGAGCTTCTTTATCATGGCGACGAATTGCGCAGATGCAAGAAACATCCTAGACATCTACCCTTTGTAGAGTCCATTCCCTGCAGAAAGTATTTTCCTTTTCTTTGAGATTCAAAGAGTATTGTTCTTAACTGAGACACTGAACAAAAGACGGGGGTATTCTTGGTGAAATCTTCCTGAATGTATCGCTTGTCTCTAATTTATACAAAAGAATTCAACCACAATTTTAGCAGTTTTCGTTTATATTGGACGGATTTTAAGACAGGAATGCTACATCTCAACCAGAACAAGCTCTTTACGACCCCCCCCCCCCACCC